AAGATTGTTGTTGACGTATTGTAGGCGAATATATCAGTGTATGTGTGTGTGGGTGTGTTAGGACTTGATGAATCATGAAAATGTGGGTAAATAACTGTTTTACTGAAATTAAAACATTCACATATGATCAGGATCATTGCACTGAATGGACGTGTGCTTTGCTATGAACCCATTGTGTCGATTAATACTGATGATGATGATGATGACGATCATTCCGAGAGGATTATTTTAATATCACCGGTAAGTCAGAAAGAACTATGCATTGATCAGTAACTGACTGAATTTAATACCTTAGTGGATAATGCATTGAGGTTTGAAATGAATGATATTTGGTTGCAATTTCAATGTGAACAACAACAATGAAATACAGAACGGACAGAACAGTTATGCTGGATACTGTGACTAGTCAATATCGAACTTGTGACGATCAGTGAGATCATACTTTTAATACCAACCTCTGTTTGTAATGGTTTGAACTATCGTTTTGTTGAAACTTGATCAGTACTGTTTGGCATATGTGCATCCTTCATAGATTGTCTCGATGAAACCATTATCACACAAGTTACGTAGGGAAAGCGTGAGATTTGGCTTGCTGATGGACGCAAGACCAACGTTTCGTCCTGTTGAGGACTTGTCAGCCAGACTAAATATCAACTCTGAGATTGGGTCCAACCTACTGACAGGTCTTAAATACGACGAAACACACATCTCAAATTCCCGTGCTAGCAACATTTAACTGTAACTGAGTTTGACTTCAGCTCAACTGGAAATTACTTGACTATCAACTGAAGAACTCTGTAGCCATTATCCCACACGCATTCGTTTTATTCGTAATTTGTCCACTATTTCGTATCTCTAGTTACTGTTTAGTACACAGACTTTGTTTTCCTGCATGACGATACCTAATTTGTTTTCCTATATTAATTGCAGTAATTTATAATGCAGTACATACGTATCGGTGGATTCGCTCTCCTTGTTCGATAGTGAAAATGGTTTGTTGTAGTTGTACTTTGACCTGATCTAAAATGTATCTGTGTTGATCAGCAATCATGTGTTCCTCATGTATTCACTAAATCGCTGAACAGGAGGATTCAAAATTGAAGGTTCCTTGTTAAATTGATTAATCAAATGATGGAAATGAAGTAGGTTAACCGGATTTCAGTGATAAGATTTGCGCGGATTATCTCATTTGTATTCAATAACATTCAGTGGATGCAAGCAGTTATCAATCAACTTGAATTTTCTTTTAAAAGAGAATCCTACATTATTCTTATTCATTCTAATGCAGATGCATATGATTTAATGATCAAAAACTATTCGTTTTGAAGATTGAGGTGAATAGGCTTGTCAAGTTAGACTGTTGAGAAAGATAAATTCCTGTCATGGTTCATATTCTACATATCAGTTTGTTAATACATACTACAAACTGCTTAAGCAATTGTTATTCGGATCAAAAATCCCGAGTTTTGTATCCAAAAGAAGTGTGTTCAGTCACTCCTTTTACCCTGGCCAAATCTGGGGCCAACTAGCTAATAATCAATCTTATAATGTAGTGACGTAATGTGATAATTGCTCATTTTATGTCCCAAACTTGTTATTATTATTAGTATTATTACACGTGATAACCTTAATTGAGGTATTTATTTAATATCCACCCCTGAATCTAGTATATTTGACCTAATTCATATTATTCTGTATATGACGTAATTCCCGATTTGTAATCACAATATTATCTCTCTCTTTCCGTTACCCCATGTTGACCATAATTATCCTTTGCATGATTTATCTGACAATTTCATTTCACTTATAATACGGATTCAAGTTAACAACTTCATATAAATGAACTATATTTTTTTGTTTTCCCTTATTTTAACAACAAAGTGAATGGAAATAATCCGAACGCTTATTGAAAGAACTTCGGGATCATCTGAAATACTGATTTTACTTTTTACCTCTCACCGACGTTGTTGTTGTATCACGAAAAAATTACATCGAATGCGGAACAACTGAGATCCGGGAAACTTTAAACAACCGTTTTGTTCCAACCACGAGTTTCCCAAAATCATTCACTATTAGCCCCATAAGTGTTCGAACCAAAAATGCATCATCTAGTTTAGAAGCTTTTTTCAATGATCTTTTAGAAGTCATAAACATTTAATAATTGAAGTACAGTAAAATGTTACTTAAAAGTACAAACACAAAATCAAGATTTATGTTGAAGGGAAAATTGTCATAGAAAAATGTGATAACAAGCTTAGTTTTATATTATGAATCTCTTTGATAGTATTTAGCCTTATTCGCTTTTTCGCTGAAAACGAACCTTGTAAAAACAGACAGTTATAACATGGTTTCTGAATAATTTCCCCGTAAACATAGTTACTTGTCACATTTTATTGCATTAAGGTACAACATATTTCTAAGCCTTTCGAATAGCTGATCTTTCTTAGATAGACCAGCAGAATGTGGAATTCCAGCAACTGGGTTTAAAAGTCTTTCAATAAAATACTTCCGATTTGACTTCCAGCACATCATCTTGTAACTGAAGTATTTGACTCAAATATATAATCAATGAAGACAATCATTTGATTTGCAGAGTCTGATATTAATTAAGATAAGATTTCATTGGAATATTGAAGCTGATCTTTGGTTTGAACATGAAACCATTTATCGAGATTATTCAAGGTACACATTGGAATGGTACTAAAGGAAGATTGAACATAATCTGATATGATGACAGTATTTGGACTTGTTAAATATAAACTTTTGTTTAAGTGATTTATCATTTGAGAATTAATGATTAATTTTATTACACTCGATTGAGGTTAATGATGATGGTAATCTGTAGACTTTCACGTACTCTTCAATTTGCTGAATTATTCTATTCAGGACATAAGTCTCTGGTTTCTTTTTCATCTAAATAGTCAAAAACTAAATTGGGATATAAGTAGAATAAGTTTTCATAAAGGATTCTATTGTCACACTGATTTATGTATTAGAAATACAGTAATAACAATAAAACAGTAAATGGTTGATGCGAACAAAACGATGAACCATGATTTACTATTAAGCATAAGGATTGTTTATAATCAGTCATGAATTTCAATCAAATCATGCATCGATCTAAGTTTGAATATAGGAATATGTTGAATTTGACGACATGGTAGTTCAGTTTGTAAGAGTACTACATTTAAAACAAATGGGTATTGAATCCAAGTTTTAGTGCAATCATTTCTAATGGAATGGAGTTCTATGTATTAGGCGAGCGCAAAATTGAATGAGACCAATGGGAATTCGGTCATTTCATGCTCTATAAACTGGTATTGACTGACACAATATACTACATACATACATATATACATCACTTTAAATCTGTTACACTAAATGTCTCAAAGACCGTTGCTCATCAATAATTATGAGGGCGAATGTATCCATAAGATTTATCGTTAATGTTGGTGAGAATGAGACTTTTTCGAGAACTGACTACAGATTTCGTTGGTATTTTACTGTACTGACTTGGATGAATGTCACATATCAAATTTGAATTTTCAAATGAACTCATGTATTTGAAAAGTTTTGAAGGTGAATTCATTTCTCATATTCAGTTTCTATACAATTCAGTAGAGTCATCAAGTGTTCACATTGACAGTAACGAAGACAATAGTTTACGAAAGGATACTTTTAAGTGAGATTATATTCATATCTGTGGAACAATCAATCCACAAGACATGAGGTCACAAATTGATTACAACTAACCTATGCCAAAAATGAATATGAATAGCATTTTACTATCAGATAACTTCCCTTCTGTTATCATTCATTGAATTGCAAAAAGCATTTCAATAAATAGGCTTTCAAAAGTTTCGAATTCAAGAATACGATAACTTTTCATTTGTCATTGAAATAGCTTACATCGGATTCAGTGATCACAAAGCACGGTATGTGTTGTCTTGATATTGAAATAAGACGAGGAAATAGTTTACTTACCTTTTTTGTACTACTTTTTATCTAAGTATCTTCTAAATGTCTCGTATTTCCAATGATGTAAATGTAAAATGTATTGCAGAATCAATCAGTCTTCAAGCTATAAATCTATACATTTGAGTGATAAAAACAAAACAATTTAATGTAGCAACATATTTACTTCAAACTGAAATTCATTAACGTGAACTTAAGTATAATGTAGGGATGAAAAGCTGCCTTCTGTTTTAGGAAACTAAAAAAGACCTAGAACATGGTAACAGGTGAAACTACAGATGATTTTTGGTTGTTTTGAAAAGTCCAATAAAGAAACTTGCATTTCTGAATTGGTCTAACTTGCTAGTTAGCAATTTATTTGCTTTGGTCTTCACGATAACATAGTGCTAACTTGTGATGAATACTACCAACGAGATTGCTCGTTAGTAATGTGTGGTGCAAAATTAATGTGTGAATTGTTGCAGATGACTGAAGGAGAGAAGATGTTCAGCAAGTCAAAAAGCACAGCTTTTGCAAAACATTGAAATGTCAGAAGTGATGGCTTAGCACTAACTATATTACAGAACAAATCGTGAGATGTAGATGGATGGTTGAACGCTTTTTCTGTAGATGATATTGTACCTACGAAAGAGTTAAACTATACAGTTTACAAAGTTATTATTCAGTCATTAGAAGCAATCTACAAAGACCTACACCTTTGTTCTGTTTATCTGATTCAACTGAACTTTTGTTTATTGATTCTTGACAGACTATTGGACTAGTGTCATCATTGTTTGTAAGTAAAAAATAATTATTTGGAGTTGATGTAGAAGTAAAGTTATTTGGGGGGTAAATGGTTTATAGATTTTGATCCTGAAATCTCGTCGCTACCACAACCACAGTCACTTAAATAAGAATGATGAAGATTTTTCAAAATATTGTTAATACTTAAGTCAATATCTTTACTTTCTATGTGACTAGTGAGATTTTCTGAAGTTTGCGGACGTTTTACTTTCTGGTAAATCGTTTGTATACTCCAAAGTCTTTCATGTAACACCATCAGTTGTATCATTTCTGCTTGAACTTAGGATTTCTTCATTTGTCACTTCGAGGTTATTAGATAAATTGAAAATATTTAATAAATGTAAATAAATTGTTTGCATTTTTACGTCTAAATAAGAAGACGATGAAGCTCTAGGGGCTCTATGGTCCAAGTTATCTGAGGTTGTGTTCGTTGGCTCTGATTTCGATAAACTATTTGTTTGAAACTGGTTCATATAAAATGGGTGATCATTAGTCGTATCGTTTATTACCGAGACAGGTGGAATGAAGCAGAAGTTGTTTGAGTTTTCAGTGGTGGACGAAATTGTACTTGGTTGAGCATTAGTAAAGTATAAAGGTAAATTGCTTCCCATTAGATAATGGTAAAGTTTAGTTGTGTCAACAAATTTCGGTTCATTGAAGGCTTGAACGTTGTTTTTGAATCCACTCTGATTCCTTTGCCAAAATGTTTCAAAAGTTTTAACGCCTTCCGATAGATTGTTTTCATTGAGTGGTGTATAGCTAGAAGAAGCACTATGGTTTGAACTATCCTTTAGCTACGCTAATTGATTCGCCAAACGACTTATCGTTCATCAGATCGCTATTAGCAGATTCTGAAATAAATGATTTGTCATTTGGCGAATGTGATATCTCTAGTGCTTGACGCTTAGGTGGTGTTGAATTACCTTGAGCGGTAAAGCGTAAACTCTTTCTTGGTTGGCGTTCATTCTGAGTGGCTGAAATAATGAAAACTATCGTTCACTTGATATAACACACTAGTTCAGGTAATAACTTATTAATCCACACAATGAATATAAACCACAAAATATAGCGATTTTAAATTTCCTTCTCAATAATAGTTCTGTTTATTCTGAATAGAGATTTGGAATGCTGATGTTGTATTATAACTATGGCAACAACGAAAATGTCATTAGGTTAATTGGCACAAGACCAATTCATTATTATTCTAAATTTTCAAGAAATGCTGAAAGAAAACCCCATAAATTTAGTAGGTTTTGAGCATCGAAGATACAGTAGATTGGCTGGGTATTCTAAAATGAATTCTTCAACTATTATAGAATTATCAGTATGGGGTTTCGTAGAGATTGCACTGATTTCACAATTTAATTCACGAATCAATCTAAGATAGATCAAAATTGAAAACCTGGAAGCACCGGTCTACTGTTTCACACTAGTATGAGATCCCTTAGCTGTCTGATCTACGATCCCTAACACGAGACTCGGACTCAGGACTTGTCTCTGCCTGACACGGATTGGACTCCACTGGTCACGGCACCACACTAGAACTCCAGAAAACACATCTTAATACCGTTGGATGTCGGCTTAGTGGTCTAGAGATCAAACGCTCGTGCGTGAGATCGAGAGTCCTGAGATCGAGTCTCACGTGAGGGATCGTGGATGTGCAGTGCTGATGAGTCCCATGCTAGTACGAAACGGCTATCCTATGCCTTCAGGCTTTCATTGGTGGTCTAGCTCAAATCAATTCGTAAATTCAATTGTGAAAATATTATAGAAGTAATAATAATGATTATCGTATAAAACCTGTATAAATTGACTGAATGGTACCTTAATAGGTAAAGAGATCATAAGAATGAGTGTTATAAATGAAGTTTCATGGACATGGTTTATGGAATTTCAGCTGAAAAAGACAAACATAAAACTCATTTCTTTGAAAATATTTATACCTGTAGATAAGTTTTTGCCTGACAGATCATTTAAAATAATCACAACAACCATTACATACTAAAATACATTAATGTTTTCCACTGCTGTTGTCACCACAAACAATCCAATCCAATCCATTATGACTGACACGTTTCATATCACAAAAGTTTGAGGTCAATTTATTTATTCCATCAGTTAAAACTTGTTCTGAATTTGAGTCAGATTTGGGTAATCTATATGCATCCATACGGTCATATATGCTTTATTCACTTAAATTTAAATGTTGGACTGCAAGATCTGATTGTGTAGATTGTTGTTTAATCATTGTCGGATCAAATGCCCTATTAGAAAATGGTTGAAAACCATCATTTGAAAACGTAATACCATACTTATCACATTTTGTTACTCATGTACTACTTATTAGAATCTAAATGCCAAATAAAATTTTTCATTTACCTCTGTGAAATGATTAACATGTAAACTATGTATTTGATCATATGACAAATTTTATTAAAAGAGGCATTGATAGTTGACAACTGGAAAGGCATCAAAGAAACATTGACTTCAACGTGTCAAGAGGTTCTGGGCCTAAAGAAACACCATCATAAGGAATGGATCTCTATAGAAACACTGGACAAGATCAAAGAAAGGAAGAACAAGAAGACAGCAATTAACAACAGCCGAACACGAGCAGAGAAAGTCCAAGCACAAGCTGAATACATAGAAGCAAACAAGCAATTGAAGAGGAGCACTAGAGCCGACAGGAAGAAATACGTGGAAGAATTAGCAACGACGGCAGAAAAAGCTGCTAGAGAAGGAAATATGAAACAGCTCTACGATACAACGAAGAAACTATCAGGGAAATACAGTAAACCAGAGAGGCCGGTCAAAGACAAAGAAGGCAAGCCAATCACTGAAATTCAACAACAGCGAAACAGATGGGTAGAATACTTCAAGGAACTCCTGAATAGGCCGGCTCCAATGACTCCACCGAACATCGAAGCAGCACACACAGATCTTCCTATAGATGTCAACCCACCAACGACGGAAGAAATTAGAATGGCCGTCAGACAAATCAAGAACGGGAAAGCAGCAGGACCCGACAACATACCAGCTGAAGCACTGAAATCAGACGTCAAAGTAACCACAAGCATGCTTTACCTTCTATTCAAAGAGATTTGGGAGGAAGAACAAGTGCTAATGGACTGGAAAGAAGGACACCTCATCAAGATTCCAAAGAAAGGAGATCTGAGCAAATGTGAAAACTACAGAGGCATTACACTACTGTCAATACCAGGGAAAGTCTTCAACAGAGTGTTGCTGAACCGGATGAAGGATAAGGTAGATGCCCAACTTCGAGATCAACAAGCTGAATTCCGAAAGGATCGGTCGTGCACAGACCAAATTGCAACACTACGGATCATCGTCGAACAATCAGTTGAGTGGAACTCGTCACTATACATCAACTTCATTGATTACCAAAAGGCATTCGACAGTGTAGATAGGAGGACATTATGGGAACTTCTTCGACACTACGGAGTTCCTGGGAAGATTGTCAATATTATCCGGAACTCATACGACGGACTACAGTGCAAAGTAGTGCATGGAGGACAGCTGACAGATGCATTCCAAGTAAGGACCGGAGTCAGACAAGGCTGTTTACTCTCTCCCTTCCTCTTTCTTCTGGTGGTCGACTGGATTATGAAGACCTCGACATCTGAAGGAAAACACGGAATACAATGGACAACTCAGAACCAATTAGACGATCTGGACTTCGCAGATGGCCTAGCCCTCCTATCACGTACACACGAACAGATGGAGATGAAGACAGCCAGTGTAGCAGCAGTATCTGCATCAGTAGGCCCCAGCATACACAAAGGGAAAATCAAGGTCCTCAAATTCAAAGCGGAGAACAGCAATCCAATCACCCTTGATGGCGAAACTCTGGAAGATGTAGAATCCTTCACATATCTGGGAAGCATCGTCGATAGACATGGAGGTTCAGATGCAGACGTAAAGGCGAGGATTGGCAAAGCAAGGGCCGCATTTCTACAATTGAAGAACATATGGAACTCAAAGCAACTTTCAACCAATATCAAAGTGAGAATCTTCAATACCAACGTCAAGGCAATTCTACTATATGGAGCTGAAACTTGGAGAACTACAACAACCACAATCAAGAAAGTACAAGTATTTATAAATAGCTGTCTACGCAAGATACTCAACATCCATTGGCCGGATACCATCAGCAATAGCCTTCTGTGGGAGAGAACAAACCAACCTACAGCCGAAGAGGAAATTAGGAAAAGAGGATGGAAATGGATAGGACATACATTACGCAAATCGTCAAACTGCATCACGAGGCACGCTCTAACTTGGAATCCTGAAGGGAAGCGGAAAAGAGGAACGCCAAGGAACACATTACGTCGGATAATAGAAACAGATATGAAAAGGATGAATTACAACTGGAAGGAGCTGGAAATGATTGTCCAGGACAGGTTTGGATGGAGAATGCTGGTGAGCGACCATTGCTCCTTCACGAGGAGTAACAGGTGTAAGTAAGTAAGTAAGTATTTTTCATTAAATGAGATAACCATAGAATGGAATTGGAAAGTAATGGTGAAACAGTATAAATATCATTTATTCCTGTAGTTGATTGAACTGAAGATGGAGCATTAAATTGATTTGTTAGTAGTATAGATATATCTGATTTATCTTTAAGAGATGAAACTATTGAATAAATATTGTTTTTCTATAGATTGTTCAGATATATTGTTATTCAAATTGTGAATTTTCTATTTTGCTACATATTGGTTGACTTCGTTGTATTTCATTGTGATATGAACGTTGCATGTTCATATTCATTGGTTCACTCAATGATGATATATATCAATTCATTCATTATTATGATTGTATTCTTCCTACTTTATTGAAGTACACTTTTCACGTAGACTGAATTGATCAGTATAGTAATACATCGTTTTTACAAATCCTTTGAGTAAATAGTAACTATTTGTTTTTAAAAACAATCAAAGAAAATTACGTTGGGAAATCAGAATTCTACTTAACAGTTTGCTGGTCAAATCGTCTACATTGATTTCTGTACAATTACTCATATACTATGAACAAACCTAGTGGGTTAATCACTTAGCAAATGTCCCTTAATAAACAAATGTGATACATTTAATATGAAATAGCAAGACTATTCGTCCTGAATATGTTTCAACAAAACAAATAAATAAAGTTCTGTGCACCTGGCACGAAGACCTCAAGTTCTTTAGTTAGTTTCTCCACTGTATTTATAACCTTGAAAACATTTTTTCGTAGGTCGTATTTCTCATGACTGTCGTTGTCCCATTGTTTTTAGTTTACATTTTTTCCTTTATCCTAAGTTCATGTTTGTTGTTATGCATACAATGTCATTCTATTTCATTTCTCGTTTCCATTCAATATCAAGTTTTTTTGCTGTACTTCTATCGTCTTCTAGGATTCCATTGTTTGGAAATAACTATTCTTGCTTTATGTATATCATTGACCGTACTATCGCTTTCAAAATGCATTTTGTTCGTATTAGAATAGTTGTTTAGTCATTTTTACTTAGCAACTTCCCTGAACCGAATAAAAAATAGCAAATTACAACACTACCCTATTTTAAATTGGCACTTATCAGAAATATGAAACTACATTACGCCAATATTACGAAGACCTATAATACATGGAAAATTAATAATTTAGGTAGATGGATTAAACCCCTGTGTAAACTTAAGTCAGCATTGACCAACTTACAATTGTGTCAGTAATGTGTATAAGCGCACATACATCACGATGCTTTAATTTATAATTAAACATTATTTCAGCGCTTTATTAACTAGCCAATCCATTGTCCTTGAGAATAAGATTACTTTTTTCGTCTAGTAAACACGTGAACTAGGCTACTTAATGTGATAAGTATGAACATAACATGACTAACAGATCATTACAATAGAAATATTCCGTCCTTGACTGTATATATTCGATTTATTCAACCGTAATTATCCAAAGCTCTGTATTTATCGGAAAAGCTGGCGTCACTCAGAGTAACTATATATCACTATAGCTTGAAAGCTATGAACAGCTATTTATTCAGTTGCTCAGAGAGAAAAATGTGGGATGAACAATGATTTCTAGTTGAATTCCTTTTATATCATGCTATACCATTTAAGATTCATTTGATAAGCATCTCTCAGAGACAAAATTTCATCACATATAATAACTATTGAAGCTTTACTCCTTTAACTTTTGCTTTAGATATACAAAACCAGTACACTAAGTAATAGTTTCTTGGGATTTTTTAAATAACCATATGAATTATGTTTTATCTATTAAATTCCTATTTTTGACGAAAGATAATATTATCGGTCTTATATATGTGCTCTGAATTGCATAAGCAGTTACACAAAGGTTAGATGTAGTTGCTAGTTTTGATTGTGAGGACATGTGTGTTAACACTGCATGATTTATCCTAGAGTTTCCCCAACATAATAAATATATAATTATATACATATATTTCCTGTGAATTTACTCACATAGATCCAGAATAGTGTGAAAAGCGTATATGCAAAACTGGATCTACACCAGGAACGAGTGAATAATTTGAGTCGAAGAAAGCTAATCTTTTTGAAAAATATACTTGAATATTCATCATGTGCTAGTGAATATTTCTTTTCTATTTTGAAAACCATATTCAGTGTTCCAGAACTGTTGCCAAAAAATAACGAACAGACAAACTATTTTGATCACATTGCCGTATATTTATAGATTGATATAGTGTTGAAACGATGCACTTCTGTAGGAGACACTCGTAAATCTGTACTAATCTAGAAACTTTATATAAACTCGGAAAAGGTTAATTTATAAGTCCTGATGCTTCTGTCTCATAGCAAATTAAAACTAAGCGTAAAATGGTTTAATATCTCAAGATCCATATCAGTTTAACATATGACCGGAACTCCAACATGACCAACCGGAAATAACTAGAAAGTTTGTGAACCATTTCAATCTTACATTTCAAATACAGTAACGGATGCTCTACACAAATAAGATTTATATTTGAAGACTGAAGGTTTGATTCCATGATTTCATGATGTTGATAATGATGATGATGATGATGATGATGATGATGATGATGATGATGATGATGATGATGATGATGATGATGATGATGATGATGATGATGATGATGATGATGATGATGATGATGATGATGATGATGATGATGATGATGATGATGATGATGATGATGATGATGATGATGATGATGATGATGATGATGATGATGATGATGATGATGATGATGATGATGATGATGATGATGATGATGATGATGATGATGATGATGATGATGATGATGATGATGATGATGATGATGATGATGATGATGATGATGATGATGATGATGATGATGATGATGATGATGATGATGATGATGATGATGATGATGATGATGATGATGATGATGATGATGATGATGATGATGATGATGATGATGATGATGATGATGATGATGATGATGATGATGATGATGATGATGATGATGATGATGATGATGATGATGATGATGATGATGATGATGATGATGATGATGATGATGATGATGATGATGATGATGATGATGATGATGATGATGATGATGATGATGATGATGATGATGATGATGATGATGATGATGATGATGATGATGATGATGATGATGATGATGATGATGATGATGATGATGATGATGATGATGATGATGATGATGATGATGATGATGATGATGATGATGATGATGATGATGATGATGATGATGATGATGATGATGATGATGATGATGATGATGATGATGATGATGATGATGATGATGATGATGATGATGATGATGATGATGATGATGATGATGATGATGATGATGATGATGATGATGATGATGATGATGATGATGATGATGATGATGATGATGATGATGATGATGATGATGATGATGATGATGATGATGATGATGATGATGATGATGATGATGATGATGATAATGATGATAATGATGATATTAAGATTGTGTATGTTGTAAACTTGTGAATGCTTTTCATTGGTATTTGACCAATAATCATAAAACGAATAAAGTAGTAAGTACTTTTGAGGCAAGCACTAAATGTTATACTACAGTTCTAGTTGTAGTAAAAATAAGTGAAATTAAATCACCAACTAATAAAATGCGGAGGTAATTTCACGAGACAAAAGACTGTTCCTGAATATTGTACGGTGAAGTAAATGTTTCCTTGATAAGTTTTAATGATTTCAAACACTAATAGTTGGAATTGGAACTTTGATTGTTAGCTTATTGCAAACATCATATCATTAAATTTCTTTCTCTCTTCAATCTAGAAGGTTGACAGTGGTATTTGAAATATCACAATAATATTTCAATGAGATGAATAAATTTTGTATTAAGCTGAAAGTAAAAATACAAATCGTTGTGGTGCGTGCTACTTATATCGATGTAAGTAGTATATTACGCGAGTTAAAAGAACGTAATGTCTGGCAGCACAAAACGGGGGAAGAACAAGAAAGAAAGCGACAACACAATGCAATCCGTAAGGAAACGCATGAACAATAAAATGTGAGACAATGGATTGATGTTTGCAACAGGAACAGTCCAGGTTGTTATGATGCATTAATATTTTGCAAATTAACAATTTACTATATAACTTTTCTATTTTACCAAGTAACTCTGTAATTTGTGTGCAAAATACAACTCGAGTGTCCTCACCTATGTTCTCCTTCACTACACCGTTGTATTCCACTGAAGAATTTCAGACAATGATGAGTCAACTATTCAGCTTCTTTTAGTTTCTTGTAATTCTCCACATAAATCCATTTCATCATAAACTTAGCTCTTTATTATCAAATAATGATCTTTCATATTGTACGGTCAAACACTCTCAACACTTCCAACATGATATCCAATATAACTTTATACACATTTGACATTATTATTCCCTAAATTCATCATCTCATTCATAGAATAAGTAAGATTAAATACTTAAGTTATTCCATAAAATACATTTTAATACTTAAATAATTTCAATAGTTGAAAACATGAGTCAATGAAAGTTAGACTACCATGGAAAACCTGGAAGCACTAGACGGCCGTCTCGTCCTAGTACCGGGTTCCTCAGCAGTGCGCATCCATGACCTCGCCATCTGCGAGATTCTAAACCAGGACCTACTGGTTTCGCGCGCGAGCACTTAACCATTAGACCGCTGAGCCGGCATCCAACGGTGTTAATGTCTAACTTCAACCAGTCCACGAATAGATGAATATAATGAAGCCGATCTCAGTCAGTGAGTTGTTGATAAATTCAAGCTCCTGACTTAGAATGTCTACTGTACAGATGTTTTTTGCTCTACTCGTGAGACAACTGACCAGCAATACAAGAATAGTAAGGGTACCAAAAATCACCTACTAACCAAGCAGAACCGAGACTTTTTAATGAAACTAAGAAAAGATGAAACCTTGACTATAACCTAACCAGATAAAGGAGGAGGTATAGTTCTCATTTAAAAAAATGATTATATTGGAAAATGGAAACAATGCTTAGCGATTCTAGCAAATTTCAGAAAATTACTAGTAATTGTGACATCAATAATAAAGTAGAAAGACAATTGGCCAATTTCCTTAAAGATCTAAAGAAAAAAGGAATAATTACGACCGAGATTCAAGATTCAATTAGGCCGACTGGATCATTTACACCACGACTGTATGGTTTGCCTAAAGTACATAAATCGGGTCTTCCTCTACGCCCAGTTCTAGAAATGTACAATTCACCTTACCAAAAAATCGCAAAGTGCTAGTACGAATCTTAAACACTTTACACAAATCAGTTGTTAGAAATAGTGTAAAAGATGTCTTCAACTTCACCTCCAAAGTAGAAAATATAAATGTTAGTATGAAAAATATGATCTCATTGGATGTAGGATCTTTGTTCACCAACGTACCACTAATGGATCGCTGTTCACCCAGCGATCACTTTCACTAGTGAAAGCGAGCATGATAAGGAGCTGAACGTCCTTGACGCCACACTAAGTAAACGAAGTGACGGCACATTAAGTAGAAGCGTGTAAAGAAGAAACCCCTCTTCATGCCAATATACCCACTTCTGCAGTTTCACACCCATCCGTTACAAGAGAAATTTGGTCAGATGTCTCACGAGCAGAGCAAAAAAGATCTGTACAGTAGACACTCTAAGTCAGGAGCTTGAATTTTTCAACAACTCACTGACCGAGATCGGCTACCCCAGCGCGTTCGTTAAGAAGTACATGCAGGATATAATAAAGAAGTCGGAGATTTCGACTGTTCGTAAGAAACCTTTATACATGAAAGTGCAATTCAACGGGGATGTGGCTAGTGACACTCTGAAATATAGGTTAACCAAAGTAATCACCAGGACATTCTACGCAGCCAATCTTGCGTTGACCTTCTCTTGTCGACCAGCGATGTCTACTCAAACGAAGGATATTAGAGTAAAGCCTGATGACGATCTAATTGAAAACAATTGCTCGCTTATATATGTTGTTCTAATTTTCACAATGGGAATGTTTCAATATGTTTCGACATGCTTTCCATTCTTTGACATATTTGTGTATTAAGATTTTTCAATGGACTAAACTAATGAATGTATTTGGTCCATGTTTCTTTAGTATAAACTAATAAATAAAGGGAGTTCAATATTTTACTACCACTAATGCAGTGTCGTTTCTATACTACTCAATTATATGAGAATTGAAGTAATAGTGTACTTTTGATTCTCTATAAATGATAATTTATTATCTAATATGTTACACCTGAGTACTTAGGCAATTTGGAGTGAGAATAAGGTTTAAATATTCGATTCCAAGAAAAAAAACCCAGCTTTCATGATTCTTGGTGAAAAAAGAAAATCTGGCAAATGTCATTGTATACTCAAGCGTTCAGACGTAAATGATGAAATCATTTGAAGTTTTTTATGAATTGGTAGGCCACAATAAAAGCAATGGCCATTTTACCACTTCACAATCTATTTCATAGACAAACCAGTTTGTTCAATAGATAATATCAGTTTTGTTTAAATAAACATCAGTCTATTGAATATTACAATATGTCGTACAGGTTTCTAACAAACACATTGACTTAGTGTATAGTATCCAAATTGTAATGATTTTCATTGTTAATCATTAGTTTACTTCAGATATTTCTATTCTGAACTGTATTCATCTTTCATCAATTTGCTCAAATCCACGTCAATGGACATTTATTCAATGGTAACTTCCTGTTACACTAATTCTGTGTTACTATATAGATATATATCAGTTACAACAACATTTTGATTATTGAGTGATTAGCTATGACAATATCTTGATTTCATTTGATCGAAACAGTGCGGCTTAATTGTATTCACCTAACACGCTTTTCATGCACATCATTCATCTGATGATTACACTGATTACAACTTGACACCTCACACTGAATCATCTCAACTTCTTATAAATATCGCTACCGATTTACAAATCAAAAACGTGTCCACCACAATATTATTCATTCCTTCACAATATTATACAGAGGTTTCTAGTCAGTTCTGTTTGTATAAACGTAAGTTCAGAGAAAACGTTTTCAAACTGATAAATTGAAGCTGGTTCAGCTGGAAATATCACCCACATAAATTTACATGAAGAAGGTTTGGAACACTGTTGCTAGGTGAACGTTATCTTCATGATGTACAAAACACAAGTCCAGTAGCTCATTTTAACGTGATTTCAGTCCACTGATTGTTTTCATAAGTCAGTATCATTGATCAAACGATACTGCCCGTGAAATGAGTTTGTTAAAGATATTAACGAAATGAAAGTTATTCAGACTGAAGTGGATGTGAAGTGCGATATTCTACACTGACATATTCGTTTTACTTTCTTCTTCAGCTGATTTCATATAACTGCATGAGTCGTTCCAGTCATCAGAATGAATTGGTCCATACAATACTGAGAAATTCAAACAACCACGTACAACTTGTTGAAAGTTCACACAATTTAAATACACACAAACGTGAACACTCTAATTCTCGCTCCATTCCTTCATATTAAATGTACCACATTTGACAGACCTACTAGTATAAGCACTTATACACGAATATGTTGATGACTCAAACAGTATACCTTTGATCCAAAAGACACGACGTTAATCTAATCACACGTTTTTTGAACTGGGTCGACTTAAGTTTCTTACCTTGTTCTTTCGTACCATTCAAAGTAATAGCCACCTCAGTATGGACATCGAGAAGACTGATTAGAAGAAGAAACTGAACGGAGAATATTAAAGTTTGTGACAATTCTGAAGAAAAACGAACAAAGTCTAGTGATTCGTCAAAGAAATACAGTGAAGACATTTCAGTTAATAAAATTTTCATCTTAGCAATGTAAATTTGTGAAGCAGTACAATCATATTAATAGGGAATTAAATCGACATGTAGTAGTCTGTGGTAACACAGAAATTATCAAAGATAATCAAACTTATTGAAGCGGAATCAATCGGAAAGGAAGTAGAACGAGATAAAAAGAAAATCGCTTAGTTGGGTGCTCTGAATGAGCAGAGAAATTTATTTCATTCTCCGTACTGAAGAGCAAGACGAATATGCACTGCAGACACAACTGTTGATGAACTGAATATAATCCGACAAACACTTCTGCAGAATAGTATTAACCCATGTCCACTGACAGTAATCGGAATCACTGAATAAATTGAAATACCACCCTTCTATTTAATTGACATACTTGAAGAATTTTGATTATTTCGATTCTCTATATATACGCAACAACGGTTCCTTTGATTGACCTCCACTACAGTGAGTTTGATTATCTTTGACAGTTTTGGTAAACATCTCTATTTTGCCATAGACTAAAACGAGCTTAATAAATCACTTGGTTTAGAATTATACATACTCATACCTGATTGAATAATAAATCTATTTGCTGATTGACTATGAGAGCCAATTGAACTAGCTGCACATGTGAATTTCATCTCTGGTGAGATGATGTTCATGATCATTTAAGAACCTTCAAGTTGAGTTCATAAGTCAAT